GCTTCGTAAACGATATAATGGTTCGGTATATCTTGTACGAAACCACGACTAGTTTCGTACAACGTGTCCGGAACTATAAGAGCACTTACGGAATTATGAATGGTTCTTTAGAACTACTACGAAACCTTTAGATGCTCTACGAAACTGTCAACGGTTTCGCACGAAAGATACAAAAACCACTGAAAGTTCAGTACACAGTGCACCGAACTTCTGAAGGGTTTCGTAGTAAAACTTCGAAACCTTCTTCGATTTTCGGAACTTAAAAAGGTTCAGTATGAAGACTACGAAACCTTTTTAATCCCATGGAACTTAAAATGGTTCCGTAAACCAGTACAAAACCTTCAAAGTTCGGTAGCTAGAACACCTTTTTTTTTAGAGTGCACACCCACACCCACATCCTGCTTTCACTTTGGTTTCTAACTCTTTCAGTAACTACTTGAACAGTTCTGTTCTAACGACAACATTTGATTCTACTTTAAGAATATTAGCTAATCTTTATGCAATTCAAGTCTTTTTAGTACCCAATTGTCTATGAAGAAGAAAACCACAAGACTTTATAAGACCGTTTGGTCTAATAAACAACCTCTGGTATAGTCTCGAAAGAAACACATTATCAAAACTCCCCAATCGTTCTTGATAGTTAAATTAATTATCAACGATGGAACGTTGTTATGGAACTAATATAACATATTCGGAAGCGATTAGCAAATCAAATATATTATTGAATGAGTATTTTTGATGCTGATTGATACGTATATGACTTTCAATAAATGGTTCGCGATTAAATTGGCTTAGAACGAAAAATTCTGGTCAGTTTCGTCATCAAATTGAATGAAGTTCGTTACTAATAGCTTTTGCATGATCGAGTAGAATGAGAGAAAAAATGCTTGATTTTCTCAATCACTTGTAAAAAGCATGAAATCTATGTTGTCTGTTTAAAGATGGCCTAGGCATTTTTTAATAATTTTTATGGATTGGTGAGTATATTTTTCTTCATTATGTTCTTTCTTTTATCCTGATTCGATAGATGAAGAATGCCACAAGAAAATGCTGCATGTACTAGAAATCGCAAGAAGTTCTTCCTGAGTTATCTGGAATTATTAGTGCGAACATGTTTCTCTGCATAGACTATTAAAGAATCATGCAAAAAGGGTATAGGTTGATGTATCCGATTCACAAACACATGTATATTCACAATTACCCTTGGAGTTTACGTGATTATGAATGTTAGACGCTGAGCTTTCCAACAAACTAAAATAAAAATCTCAAGTTTGTCCAGACTTGTAGATCTTGAACCGTTGCATCTAAGAAATACTTGATCAGCGAAATTCTATACACTTTTTAAAGACTTGAGAAAATTCTTTGAATTTTACTTACTGTTCACAAGGCTTGCAGACTGACTTCATTCACTATTATCTAGAAATATGAGAAACTTTAGCCTTGTTCTAATAGAGAAAAAATGCGAATCAATAGATGTTCCCTTTGGAGAGTTATTCGAAAAACAACTATCCTTCTTTTATTTTGAAACGGATAATATTTTGAAGATATGGATGTGTATAGGTTTTCTCTTCATCATAAAAAGTCTCTTGAACAGGTTAGTTTGCACTAATTTGGCTTCAACTGTTCTATGCGACGCCGGTTGCTATCAAATTTTCCGACTGCCACAGTGGTTTTCGAGCAAGATGTTGCATTGCGGCTTCCATTCTAGCTACTTGACCGGTTGTAAACATCCTATAACATCCATATGCACCACTATAGTCCATATAATTTTCACTGTTCACGAGCTGTTTAAGACAATTATTCACAAGTTTGCAGCCTTGGTTTCCTACAGTTTGTGGTGTATCGCATACTCGATCTCCAGTTCCATCACATTTGTCTTCATTAGGTTTCACGCATCCCTGTTCGAATGTGTGAATGAGATTAAGCCAATGACCAAATTCATGAGTTAAAACCGATGCAAACTCGTCGTCTGTATTTCCATAAAGATAGCGCCCATTGTAAACGATGCGTGCTAAATTGGCATTAGACATACCAGAATCCGGATACCAAGCAACACCAGAATTAGTTAATACACCATCTCCATATAGATCCAATTGAATATACACATTACAATATTTGTAATTATTCCATGCTTCTTTCTGTATATCACTATTGAATTTATTCGTTGCATATCCCTTTTTTGCTGGATAGTAAACGATTCCAGTTGTTAGAAGTCCACTTGGATCCTTTCTAGCTAGTTTAAAGGTAACATTAAATGTTGATCTTCTTCCTTGAAAAGCTGGAGCAACTGCATTGAAATCATTGTTCAATCCATGAAAATCCTCATTCACCTTTTCAATTGCTTTCTGTATAGTAGTGTCATTCACGCGACGTCCAGCAAAATCAGTACCATAAACATGAAAAACTACAGGAATAACGTACGACTGGGCTGTTAGTGTCGTAGATATAAAGTTTCTAGTGCTGATTTCGAATTGCTGATTTTCTTTCAAAGCATTTTCATTTTGCTTATAATACTCTTGCATGATCTGATCAGCACGGCATGCAACTGGCGGAAGAACTTGCGTATTGTCTTTTCTTTCACTGATCACTTCTGTGAATATTGTCAGAAAAAATAATATTGATGGGATGAGTACTTGCAACATAGCCATTGTCTAAAATTCACACATGTTAGAAACATAAATCTATAAAATCTACATTGATTCTTCTAATAGCCTAATGATTACTCAGTGTCGTCATGATAAAGACGAAACTTGAACTAGTCTATCGAATAGTACAAGTTGATGTACACTTATTTGGTTGTCATTTAATTAAAACTCTTAATCATATTGGTTTTGAAGGGAGGCCTATGAAAGGTGTTCCATAATAACTGACAATAAATTGTTATTCATATTTTTCATACTTTTTCTTGATATAGAGGGTTGAAACTTTTATCACATATATACCTAATGCAGATCTTCTATTTCTGAAAGTTTCAGCTCTTTAGCTATAACTACTGGTGAAATATATCGACAACACTGAAATACATAAATTTTCGAAATTGATTTTTTAATATTTTTTTTATTATGAAAATGATGCGGGATAATACCATGAGTGGTCAATCAAAAAATCACAAAGTATTCAGAAAATTTTCTTTCGTATCAGAGTTTGTAGAGCTTTTTCCGCTGATCACTTTGGTAAAAACACTTTTCCAATTTCACTGAGAAATGACGACGTTATAGACAAAATACTAAACGCTGTAAAATAGGTTAAAGTGTAAGAAAAAGTCGAGTCGTATATTTCAAAATGTGGCTATATTCTGGAGAAATGTGACGTAGTAGGTTTTGTAGAGGAAAGCTTGCTTTACAAAACCCTATAGTCCGATTCTGAAATACAAGCAAATAGGATGAATAATTCTCGATTGAACATTGTATACAATATTTCTATCAAAAAAATTGACATCTTCTACTTAGGGGTATCCAAAATTAGTGGCAGTGACACTTTAATATCTCATAGTAAGCTTGATAAAACTTCCTTTTTATATAGGATGAAATTTTGGACTCACTCCCCCTGCCCCACAGACCGTGACAGAGGAACTTCAGAGACCACCACAGACCATGACAGATGGATTCCAGGGACCATAACAGACCGTGGCAAAGAACCCCCAGAGAGCATCACAAACCGTGACAGAGAATATCTAAACCCCTCACAGACTGTTACACAGAAACTGTAGTTTTGAAAGATCAAAAACAAACGATAAGCTGGAAATCTATCGTAAAGAAACGGGAGAAAACGATGTCCATTTAAGTAGTAACAGTAGGTCCATCGTGTTTCACATTTTTAATCCCGTAAGGCATTGGGCTAATAGCTTTTTATATAGGACGATAGAGAAAAAAAATACTCTTTCATTCTATGCTATTTGATCATACTTCAGTTGATTTCATAACAATAAAGTTCTAATAAAACTAATTTTCGTAGAATGTGCAACGGTTATATGAGTTCATATTGTCTCGAATATGTATTCTTTTCTTAATCTTCTCTTTATTCTTCTTCTTTTTTTTTAATACTTTTCTATCGCCTTTTCCAACTCTTTACCGTTTCTTCATATGTATGCAAAGACGTATATCTCTTTTGTGCACGTGCTGTGTGCTGTTGGGTTCTATAGAGAGTGAAAGGAATAAAGTTAAATCGAGTCTTAACACTCTTCATTTTATTTTTTCAATGGATAAAGAAAATTTTCGTTTTTACATTAAAGTGCGTACTGCACTTAATATTCAAGCAATAGCTATTCACGACGAGCTACGTACTGTTTTTGGTGATGATGCTCCTTCATTTCTAACAGTTGCAAGATGGGCTCAATGTTTTCATGAAGATCGAGAAGATATTCAAGATGAAGAGCGATCTGGTAGATCTGTTGCCGAGATCATTCCTGAAAATATTGAACAAGTTCGTAACATTGTCGTCGATGATCCTTATGTTACAACAGAAGAACTACAAGGACAAACTGGTCTAAGTTACGGCACCGTTCATAGAATATTATCCGATCATCTGAAACTTAGAAAAGTTACTGCTCGTTACGTACCGAAACAACTCACAGATTCTCAACGGAGTGAACGAGTTCAAATATGCAAAGAAAATCTATCAAGATTTGAAGATGGAAGCTGGCGATTATGTGACGTAGTAACAGGTGATGAATCGTGGTTTTTTCATCAGCAAACTGGTCAAAAAGCTTCAAATGCTGCTTGGGTGACAAAAGAAGATCCTCCGCCTACAATAGTGCGACGAGATAAGTTTGCTCCGAAAACTTTATTTCGTATTTTCTTTAAATCAACAGGTCCCATTCTAATCCATCGTGTTGAACGTGGGCAAACTGTCGACCATCAATATTACATCGAAAATTGTTTGCAACCTGTTATCGAAGAAGTCACGAAGCGAAGACCTCTATCTGGTACTCTTGCAATAAAAATTCATTACGATAATGGAACATCACATGCTCATCAAGCTGTTTTCGATTACCTTCGATCAGAAAGAGTTACCATAGTACCACATCTACCCAACTCTCCAGATCTGTCATCCTGTGACTTTTGGTTATTCGATTTGATCAAACGTAATCTAAGTGATCAAGCTGATTCTAACTCGTTACATCATGCTATAATCGAATTCCTGTATTCTTTGGATAAAGTAGAGTTTAAAAAAAATTTCATAAATGGATTCAACGAATGCAATTGTGTGTAGAAACTGAAGGCGATTATTTTGAACATTTAATAAAATAAAAACTTCTTGAACTTGTTTATGTATTTTGTATTTTTGTGTACACTAATATGAAGAAACGATAAAGAGTTGGAAAAGGCGAGAGAAAAGTATAAAAAAAAGAAGAATAAAGAGAAGATTAAGAAAAGAATACATATTCGAGACAATATAAACTCATATAATCGTTGCACATTCTACGAAACTTAGTTTTATTAGAACTTTATTGTTATGAAATCAACTGAAGTATGATCAAATAGCATAGAATGAAAGAGTATTTTTCTCTCTATCATCCTATATAAAAAGGAAGTTTTATGGAGCTTACTATGAGGTATTAAAGTGTCACTGCCACTACTTTTGGGTACCCCTAAGTATTTCTTAAAAAAATTCACTGTATGTACATAGCATAGAAAACTACTATTAAGTACTTCTCAAAAAATAACTACTTTTCAGCTGTTATTGTACAATCTCAATCTCAACCAATTTATAAGGTAGTTCTATGTACACATGTTTGTATGCAAGTTTGATCAAGTGCAGTAGTATCAAACTTGAAAAGTTCAATTCAATTATTCAATCATTGAATAGTTGAATTCAAGTTTCAAGTTTGACATATATGGTCAACTGGTTTGTATACTCGTTTTCGGATTCGGAGAAGTCGAAAGAAAAAAGAAGCACTTAACTTAAAAAGTTTGAATCTATCCCTGAGAAACAAAATAAGTAAAATTCCACACAAACTGGTATCACAACCAACTTAGCAATAAAAAGTACTATGACCCTGTAAGTAATACGAAGTACTGTGCTAGTGTAAGTAATAAAAAGCACTATGAAAGTGTAAGTAACGCAAACGCAGCACTTACCTTTTGCTTGCTTGATTTGCAATATCCACTCTCGAAAACCAAAATTATCAACAAAGGTCGCAGCTTTTATACATTCAGCTCTTGAGTTTCTCTTGCTCTTATTTTCTCTCGTTTTCTCGGTCTATAATTTTCAGTCTATCGCCTCCTAATTTTTCTTTCTTTTTCTCTCTCCCCCTTATTTACTCTCTCCCCCTTATTTACTCTCTCCCCCTTATTTTCTCTCTCCCTCACCTATTTCCTTTCTCTCACTCCACTGTCTTTGTCTTTTTTTTCTCCCTCTCTATTTTTTCTCTGACTATTCTCCACAGGATTTTTTTTTCCCTCCCTGATCTTGAACAGACAAATCAAAATACGAGGCTTTTTAGAATGAGTTTCTGCCCACTGAAATACGATGCGATAAAGATCACGAAAAATGCTCATACTCTACTATGATACAAAGCACGATATTCTACAATTTGAACTATAATATATAATTGAGATTAAATCTTCATTTTGGCTTTTTATGATATTTTTATATAAACGCAGCCAAAATTTGAATTATAATTAATCACTACCAAAAAATCTTCGCTACCGCTTTTTTTGGCTACTCCTATATAACATTAGCTAAAATTTGAATTCTAATTTAGAAATGGGATAAAACTTTCGCTTTGGTCTTTTTCAGCTTGTTTTGTGAAAGTTTCACGTAAGTGAAGTTGGCTCGAGATTCGAGTAAATCCTGCCCCGATTCGCCCATGAACTTGTTCCAAAGCTCCTATTCTTCTTCCAAGTAGAATTCAATGAGCTCTATCTAATGGTATAATTAGATTTTCGATAGCCCAAATTATGCAGGGAAAAACCCCAAAATACTGATTTTTTTCCATATATTTCGTAGAACCCTTTCCGTAGTTCCTGCCCCGATTCGCCTAGGAACTTGTACCAAACCTCCTATTCTTGTTTCAAGTAGAACTCAATGAGCTCTATCTAATGGTATGATTAGATGCTCTATAACTTAAATTATGTGGTCAAAAAGCCCAAAATACCTATCATATACCCGACAAGTCTTGCAGTTCATATCATAGATCCTACCCCGATTCGCCTATGAAGTTGTTCCAAAGCTTCTATTCTTGTTCCAAGTAGATCTCGCTGAGTTGTATCTAATGGTATGATTAGATTTTTTATAGCACGAACTATGTGATCAAAAAGTCAAAAAATACTACTGTATACCGATAAGTCATGGACCGCGTACCATAGATCCCGCCCCGATTCGCTTAGGAACTTATTCCAAATCTCATATTCTTGTTCCAAGCAGAACTAGGGTGTGGGTGTGGATTGAAAGAGATAAACTGTCATCCACGTCCACGCACACCCAGGCTACCGAGTAGGCATTTTGGGCTTTGTAACTATATAATTTGAGTTATAAACAATCTAATTATACCATTAAATAGAGCACATCGAGTTGTAGTTGGAAGAAGAATTGAAGGTTTGAAACAAGTTCCTAAGCGAATTGGGGCAGGATCTACGGAAAGGGTTGTATGGGATGTGTGGAAAAAAACCAATATTTTGAATTTTTCTTCTGCATAGTTTGGGCTATCAAAAATCCAATTACACCGTTGGATAGAGCTCATCGAGTTCTACTTGAAAGAAGAATAGAAGCTTTGAAACTTGGGTGTGGGAGAATCGGGGCAGGATTTAGTCGAATCGGGCGCCAACTTCACTTTAGTGAAAATTTCCCAAAACTTGAATTAAATTTTATAATTACGATAGACTTTTCGCTTGAGCTTTTTGGGCTCTTTTCGTATAAAAGCAGTCAAAATTTGAATTATAATGTATAACTCTGATCAAATTTTAACTTTGACTTGTTAGGCTATTTTTATATGAAAGCAGCCAAAATTTGAATTATTTTTTACAATTGGGATAAAATTTTCGCTTTGGCTTTCTCGGCTAGTTTGATGTAAATTCACCCGCTAAGATTCAATTACGAATTATAACTACGATAAAATTTTGGCTTTGGCTTTTTGGGCTATTTTGTATGAGATCCGTCAATATTGGAATTATAATTCATAACTGGGATCACATTTTGGCTTTCGCTGTTTTGGCTATCTTTTTTATAAAAGTAGCCAAAATTTGCATCGTAATTCATAACTAGGATAAAATCTTGGCTTTCGCTTTTTCGACTACTTTTAGATAAAATTAGCCAAAATTTGAATTATATTTTATAATTGGGATCAAATTTTGGTCTTGGCCTTTTAGGCTACTTTTGTATAAAATTAGGCAAATTTTGAATTATAATGTGTAATTGGGATCAAATTTTCGCTTTGGTATTTTTTGGTATTTTTATATAACATTAGCCAAAATTGGAATCAGAACGTATCATTAGCATCCAATTTTCGCTTTGACTATTGGACTTATTTTATGTAAAATTCCCTAAAATGTGAATTATGATTTATAACTACGATCAAATTTTCGCTTTAGCTTTTTTGGCTGCTTTTGTATAAGATTAGCGCAAATTTTATTTTAATTTATAATTAGGATAGAATTTTCGCTTTAGATTTTGTGAGTATTCTTATATAAAAGCAGTCAAAATTTGAATTACAGTTTATGATTGTGATAAAATTTTAGCTTAAGCTTTTTTAGCTATTTTTATACAAAAGTAGCTTAAATGCGAATTATAATTTATAATTGGGATAAAACTTTCGTTTTGCCTACTTTGCCTACTTTTATATAAAAGCAGTCAAAATTGGAATTATAAATTAGAATCCGGATAAAATTTCAGCGTTGGGTTTCTCCACTAGTTTGATGTAAAATGCCTCTAAGCTTCATTTATGAATTATAATTACCAGAAAATTTTGGCCTTTGTTTTTTGGGGTATGTTGTCTGAAATGCGTCAAAATTTGAATTATAACTTATCATTTGGGTCACATTTTGGCTTTCGATTGTTTTTGGCTATTTGTTTTATAAAAGTAGCCCAATTCTTGAATCGTAATGCATAAATGACATCAAACTTTTGACTTTTACTTTTTCGGCCACTTTTAAATAAAATTAGCCAAAATCTGAATTATAATTTATAATTGGGATAAAAGTTTTGTTTTCGCTCTTTTTTTAAGTAAGCAGTCAGAATTTGAATTCTAATGTGTAAGTGAGATAAAGTTTTGGTTATAATTTTTTGGGCTACTTTAAAATAAAACTTTAAAATAAAAGCAGCCAAATTTGAATTACAACTTATAATTGGAATAAAAATTTCGCTTCGCCTTTTTGGACCAGTTTTATACAAAAATTCCCCAAACTTGGAACTATAATTTATAATTGGGATGAAATTTTAGTTTTGGCCTTTTAGCCTATTTCCGTATAAAATTAGACAAAGTTTGAATTATATTGTACAATTCGGATTAAGTTTTCGCCTTTGTTGTTTTGGTCACTATTATATAAAATTAGCCAAAATTGAAATTATAATTTATAACTGGGTTAAAGTTTTGGCTTTGAGTTGTTTGGCTACTTTTAAATAAAGCATCCAAAATTCGAATTATAATTTATAATTGAAATAAAACTTTTTCTTCACCTTTTTGGGCTAGTTTTACGCAAAAATTCCCCAAACTTTGAATTATAATTTAGAATTGCGATCAAATTTTGTTTTTGGCCTTTTAAGATACTTTGATTTAAAATTAGCCAAAGTTTTAACTATAATGAATAACTGGGATCAAATTTTCGCTTTGCTTTTTTTTGGCTACTATTATATGAAATTAGCGAAATTTGAAATTAGAACCTATCAATGGAATCAAATTTGGCTTTCACTTTTTCGGCTAGTTTTATGGAATATTTGGAGGTGAGCGAAGAGGAAGACAAGAAACGACAAGTGTGAACGGTAATAATTTGCTTTTGAAGGACTTTCGATCGATTAACAGTTACACATCCCACCAACACCAGCAAAAACCATCTGCACATTAACACACGACAACAACACACCAACACTAAGAACAACGATCTGGACACTAGCACACCATAACAACTCACCAACACTAGCAACAATCCGATGCACACACAAAACACATGCGCAACCATGCTGCCTATGAAATAGACATGACGGCATCGTAACGTAGTGGACGAATACTGACTGGCCTATCTGAACACACTCACACCCCATTCCCCACAGCTGCA